ATATTTTTCTGTGTGTTGGCACTATATCCAAACACAAACGCGTGTTAAGCAAACAGTGAAACAATTTATTATTTTCTAAGTTGGCGAATAAAACTTCCCACTTAAATTTAAGACATTCATAACAAAGATTTTATGAAGAAAATTCCCGCTACGGCATACTTTAGACAAAATATATTCGTTTAAAATAAAATTAATAATAATAATGATAATAAAAATAAATAATAATAATAAGTTGGGCCCACCCAACTTTAGATAGCCCTGTCTGACATGAAAATTTTCTCCGCGGTAAGGCTAGTAGCCATTTCTAGCAGATTTTGGGTCGCTTAGTCAAAAATGGAAACAAAAGTTGCGATCCCGTACGAGTCCGGACTAGTCAGAAATAGTCAGAATCAGTCAGAGTTTACTGGAAATCGATCCCGTACTCGTTTCTCTGACTATTGAGAAGACAAAAAAGAGAGTAAAAAAGGCCCTCTCTTTGTGTCAAACGATAAGCTGTAGTGTGTTTGGCAACCAGATTGTAAACAAAAGAAAAGTGCACTCTGCTAATTCATGTTGAAAAGTATCTAATTACTTGTTTAAGTGGATTCTAATGAATTTGAAAGTATTTATGGTTATTTACATGTGTGAGCTGGGTGTGTTTACATACAAAATAAGCAAAAATTTACAACCAAAATTTGGAGGTTATGTTGAAGTTGACAGAAGTTACCATTTTTTACTAGAAAGCGATCTCGTACTTTTCAATGTTATATTTTTAATAATCTATAATTTTATAAAAAAGTCGTATTTTATATTTCTATTTTATATGTTCGTTTACGTCGCATTTTTTAGTCATAAACCTGACCTGCAACGGAAGTGGTAAGCTATAGTCTGCGCCTGTTGTTGAAAGGAAAGGAAATACAGGCCAACAGCCAGCAGCAGAAATTATGCAAATTGCATATTTTCTATTAATCTGTTGCTATTATAATAGTAATATGTAATAATAATAGTAATTAGTAAAAATAGTATTATGTAATAATAATAATAGAAATAGTAATATGTAATAATATTAATAGTAATATGTAATATTAATTATAGTAATAGTAATTAATAATAATAATAACAAAAATATTAATAATGATAGTTTTAATTGAAATTTTGGTGAAAACTAAACCTTAAAACCAAAAATCTTTAAGGCAGCAAACGTACGGTTACATCGTTGCTGAATTATTAAACTGAAAAAACAAGCATAGAAAAATACTAAATGCATCGGTAACATTCTTAATTAATAAACCCGGTATGCATACCTTATAATGAAGATATATATATTTCTCTAATTCTCGCACCCTCTCTCAAATTAGCATTTTCTGCAACTTCGTTAGTAGCAACATCCTCTTCAAATTCGTCTAGAGCTTCGAAACCCAAGTCTGCAGCAACGCCGTGTTTCAAAAGAATGTTGTGGAGGATTGCACAAGCGTATATAATATTCCCGGCTCTCTCATGGGAATAATGCAAATACGGTGCTTTGCTAAGCACCGAAATCTTGATTTCAGAACACCGGAAGCTCTTTCTACGCAATTTCGAGCCTTCGCGTGTAGGGTGTTGAATTTCACTTCTTTTGCATTCAATGGCTCTGCCTCTGGAGTTAGAAGCCATGGTTCCAGTGGGTAACCCTGATCCCCTAACAACCAATTATCGCACTGGCTTCTATGTGTTCTTAGAAGATGAAGGCGTGTTGGGGATGTAGTCCAAATACCGGAGTCGTGGCAGTATCCAGGAAATCTTGCATTTATAGCCGTGAACAGCAAACGATGATCACATACCTATTGAGAAAGAAAATTGTATAACAATGTATTCGATTTCTTACAGAATTGTCATTGCTTTGAAATTTAATTTTATTTATCATTTACCGTATGTAAAAAAAGATGTAGTAATAATTACAGCCTCTACGTTAATGCTGTAGAAACCTTTCCGGATCATATACATGCATAGAGGGTTACTTGGGTCTGTTGTCGATGGAGCGACTATGCCTATGTGCGTGCAGTCAACAGCACCTATCGTTCCCTTAGGGCCGGTTGTTCAATGTCTGATTAGCACAAATCGGAGGTAGAAGCTCCGGTTAGATACAACGACTGCTTTGTCGATCACATGTTATATGCATGCTGTCGAAATCGTCGATAATGATGTTTAACCGGCAAGTAGTGATAACCAGACATTGAACAACCGGCCCTTAATCTTAAATGCCGTTTAAAAGCTGAAAGTAATGGTATAACATACATTTAATTAACCTTCGTCGCACTTTTTATATCAACACAAACATATGTTTTTGCCTTGTCACCTGCGCAAAAGGTCATGACAATAAAAATGGCAATTGGCATGATTCGAGCTTTTGAATTTTGCTGCGAATACCAAAAAGCTGCAATAGTCATTTTTATATCAATTGTCATCGCGGTGAGTCAGTGTGGCGGAATAGGGCTGTTAGTAAGAGTTTGCAACACTACTCAATGCTTATACAAATGTCAAAAATTTACGAAGCTTTGATGTGTGATCAAAATAGTCTTCAATTCATCAAATTAAATTAAATAAGAAAGTAATTGATAT